GATGGACACTGGTAATCGCTGTCCGCAGGCACTGCTGCCTGGGGGAGGTACTCCTCTGCCTGCAAGCTTTTTCTTGGACATGGAAAAAACTGCCAGTGAGTTTTGTTGCAGCCGCAGTGGGAGTTCTGGGAGCAGCGCAGCTCCCCAGCCCTGTGGTGCGGCCCTGCTGAGGGCAAGGTAGCTCCAGGCAGCCTCTGCCTCCTGGCTTTGCTTGGCCCTCTGACGAAATGCGGGTAAATGGTGTCTTCCCACCAGGCGAGGATTAGGGCTAGCACAGAGTAGGGGACAGAGTTGTGATGGGCTCACGTGAAGATGGGTCCAGACTCACCCATGCCATTTTGCATCCACATCGAGTGCAGCGCATCCCAAGGATGGGCATTGCCCACTGGGGAGGTACCAGGGCAGCTCCTACCCGTGCCAGCCCCTGCTGTCCCGGCCCTGGGCCTGAGCACAGAGAAAGCTCAGGATTTTGGGGAGAGGAAGGTTGCGTTATGCATCCTGCTCACTGACCTGGTACTGGAAGTTAGCACCCCGAATTCACCACCCTGCAGCAGCACACGCTTCTGTACCCACAGCCTCTCACCAATGCAAAATTACCGAGTTTGCTGGGAAAACCTACCCGAGCGGCTGCCAGCGCTGGTAAATCATGGCAGGCTCTGACTCACGGCGAGATTTTGGTTTTGCACGACGCAGCCTCGGTGGCACTGAGAGCCGTGGGGCGATGGCCAGGGTGAGTGGGGCCACGTGCAGCTGCAGATAGCACATCTGGGGGTACAGGGGAGCCCCTGGCTGGTGTGAGGGCTGGGGGGGACCTGAAACCAGCTTTGCCAGGACAGTGATGCTGAGGCAGCCGGGATCTGGAGGAGGGAGCTGCCATTTTCAGGTGGTTACTTTTAGAAACAGAAGTGCAGGGTAAAATCTCCTCCAAACGTTGCTGAATCCAGAGCCAAATCTCTTGGCGGCTCTGCAGTGCTGGTATCGGCTTGCTATGAGAGGTTTTTTTCCCCTTCAGCATCCTGTATCCTGTGCATTTTTGGGTTAGCGAGCGGTGGCAGCCAGCAGGGTGCACCTGATACCCCGACGATGGGCGCTTTCACCTTGAGAAGTGTCCCAGGTGCCAGCCAAGGGCTCTGGGGATGGGTCTCGGTGGCTGGGGTGATGCTAAGGTCTCTGTGTCCCCATTTCCCACTGCAGGTGCCAGTGAGGCTGCGGTCTCGAGCGCTTATCCCTTCTCCACTGCTGCTGCCCGCCGCCGGCGGGTCTCCCGCCCCCCCCCGCGCCGCCGGCGGGTCTCCGGCACCGCACAGCCATGACGACCTCGGCGCTGCGCCGGCAGGTGAAGAACATCGTGCACAACTACTCGGAGGCAGAGATCAAGGTGCGAGAGGCCACCTCCAATGATCCCTGGGGACCCCCCAGCTCCCTGATGTCAGAGATCGCCGACCTCACCTTCAACACAGTGGCCTTCGCCGAGGTCATGGGTATGATCTGGCGGCGGTTGAACGACAGCGGCAAGAACTGGCGTCACGTCTACAAAGCCCTCACCCTCCTGGACTACCTCATCAAAACCGGCTCCGAGAAGGTGACCCACCAGTGCCGGGAGAACCTCTACACCATCCAGACGCTGAAGGACTTCCAGTACGTGGACCGTGACGGCAAGGACCAGGGCATCAACATCCGGGAGAAGGTGAAGCAGGTGATGGCACTGCTGAAGGACGAAGAGCGGCTGAAGCAGGAGCGGGCGCACGCGTTGCAGACCAAGGAGCGCATGGCCCTCGAGGGCATGGGCAGCGGCAGCCACCAGGTCACCTACGGCCGCCGTGCATCTCCCTACGGCGAGGACTACGGCCGGGCACGGGGCTCGCCCTCCTCCTTTAACTGTGAGTGTTGCTGGCAGCTCGCTTGGCCGCACTCGGGCTCGCTGTGGGGTGGAGGCAGGCGTTGCATTTGGTTCACACCTGTCTGGTGCCCATCGCTCCCCTCCACCTTTTGGTGAAGCCCGTCTCTGTCCTGCACTGCGGGCAGAGGTTTGGCTGGGCTGGTGGTGCACCCCAACAGTGGTGGCAGCTGGCGGTGCCTTGAGCCTTAAATCCATGGCTTGTTCATGGTAGGGAGCTCTAATGTGGGGCTGCATCCCCTGAGGAAGCCATGCTGTGGAGCTGCGGGCGTTGGGATGGTGGCCTGGGGGAGGTTGCTGACATGCTCCCCAAAATACCCAAGTCCTGATGCCGCTTTTTCCCCTTTTCCTCTTTTATCTCCCAGCATCATCATCATCCCCACGGTTTGCCTCCGACCTGGAGCAAGCAAGGCCCCAGACGACGGGCGAGGAGGAGCTGCAGCCGTGTCGCTTGCCGGTAGGCGGGAGGATGCCGAGAAGTTAGGGTGTCTCTTCCTTCCCCGGGACGTGCCAGGCCAGGCCTCTCCCTGCACCTTGCCTTGTCTGCGGGCATGGTGGGTCATTTCCCTGGGAGGAGGGAGGATTTTAGGGGCTGGTCGAGG